GGGGGGGTTGGGGGGGGGGGGTGTGTGTTGAGGGAGGGTCCGAGGTGTGTCACAGCGCGTGCCACCCGCGCGGGAGCGAGGATCCGCTAGCGTCGCTGGACAGGGTGCGCCCCCCTGGGTGGCCCGTGGTTGGCGCTGTGGCGGCGTGGAAGAGGTGTCCTGGGCCAGAGGGGTCGTGTGGGCATCTGGCGGTGGCCCCGCGCGGGCTGGGCTGTGCGTGGCGTCATTTTCCCCTCCGCCCACCCTCCCACGCTTTCCTTCTCTCCTCTGCGTCCCGACCCGCCCCTCCTGACCTCCTGGGGGAAGAACAGCTGGAATTGCTCGGACTTCCCTGGGACACCCTCCGGGTCTCTGATTCAGCCGCGGGCAGGGCGTGTGTGGAATGTGATGCGCTGAGGGAAACGCGCTGTCACCGCCTCTGTCAAATTGGTGGCTGAAGCTGGGATTTAGTGGACTTTTTCGTTACCTCCCACCCCTCCCCCACTCTCCAGTCTGTCGCCTGCCTCTCCCAGTCAGAAGTCCCTTCGGGTCAGGGGCAGCACCTTTTGTGGCTTGCAAGGGGGAGGTCCCTGGCAGCCGGTGGGGAGGAGGGGGGTTGGGGAGGGAGAGCCAGAGCTGGTGGCGGAGGCCAGGTTGTCTTGTGCCCAGGACCAGCTCTTCCTCACCGAGGTCCTGGGCACATCACTGTGTTTGGTTCCTTTAAGTTACTGGAAAGATCGAAGATTCAAAGAGAGGTCAGCCAGTGGCCACACTGGAGGCCTTTAGTGTCCTCCTAATGTGCATCAGCCATACTCACCCTTCTCCTAAACCTTCAGATGAAAAAAACCATCTAAAGATAAACTGGTTCTTGCTATGAAAATGCAGTTTCCGGGCAAACTTTCCAGCCCAACCTGCTCCGGTAGAGAAATTCTGGGGTCTTTACTGAGTCTCCCAAGTGTGAATTGAAATAAGCGGGGTACAGAGAGCGCAGACCCCAGCACAGGGGCCAGGGGGAGAAGTGCAGGGGCAGGTGCAGACCCCAGGCCTGTGTGGGGCTAAGCGCCAGGTGGCTCAGAGTGGGGTCAGGGAGTCGGGGGAAGGTAGAGGTGGTCAGAAATTGGTGGGAAACCTCCAGAGGCACAGTGCTCTGGTGTAAGGAGCCAGACCCGGGATGTCCTCTGATTGTGACTTCTTAGCTTTGCGGGACCCTGCTTCCCATTACAGCTGGAGGAGGGAGGTGTTACCTGCCTTGCCCTGTAGCTTGGCATGTGGCCCAGGCTTGGCCCTTGGGAGGAGTTCAAATATATACATTGAATGAATTGAATGGCCCATTGCCTTCTGCCCCATTCCCCTCTCATCTCGCCGGGAGAGTCCCAAGCAGGCAGTTGACTGTCACTTGCTTTGGCTTTCCAGGGAGACCTTCGAGCCTCGGTGGGGGTCTCCTCTCCTGAGGCGGAGTTCTCCAGGAGTGACAAGTAAATCCAGGATTGCTAACCATTGGTTTGATAATTTGGAATGGAATTAAGAACTCACACAAGGTCCTGGTCCAACTTCTTCCCATTTTACAGATGGAAACTGAGGCCCAGAGATGGGGAGTGGCTTGCCAAGGCTGAGCCAGCCCCGGAGCTAGGCTCTCTCGGCCCTTCTCCAGGGCTCTGGTTGGGACTTTGGGGGGGGGGGGGTCAAGGGGTTCTCGGTCTTGATTTTTGCCCGTCTGCTATCAGAGTGGCAGAGATAAATTGGCTCTTCACCGAGGTTCTGGTGAGGAAACTTTCCAGACAGAATATGGGTGACTTTTTATTTATTTAATTTTTTTTAGTGTAAATCAGGTGTTTCGGAGAGTGGAGCAGAATCAGGCTAGGGAGAAAGGGCTGCGGCCCCGCTGAGCAGTGGCTGACTGGATTTGGGCTGCCCCCTCCAGATTGGACCCCAGATCTGAACAGAGCTGGGGGGGGTTCCTTGGGGGTGTGCTGGAACCTCCTGGCCTGAGTGGCCTCCGTGTGGACGGGGAACAAAGATGGCATTGTGTTTTGCTGATGGCCTGAAGCTGCGATTCTTCCTTGGGACCCAACTCCGGAGAATCCCGTCCAAGGCGTGACTCAGAGCCCCTGTGCCTCAGAAGGAAAGCCAGGATGATGACTCGGCAGCTAGGATTCTAGCAGGGAGGGACCTGGCTCAGGCCCAGAGGTTCCAAGGGAGGGACAGGACAGCTGTCTCCAGACTGGCTGCTGTAGCCCCTTCATCCCCTTTCACCCCTCTTCTTGGGCTGCATCGGCTCCACTGAGTGGATGAGAAAATTGAGGCCGAGGGCGTTTAAGGGACGTGCCTGTAGCCACATGGCTGAAGTGGGAGAGCCAGGCTTTGAGCCTGGAGAGTCAGACCTCAAAGCCTTTGTTCTTTTTCACGACGGCACGTTGGGGGGATTGGAGAAAGGCAGAGAGGCAATCAGGAGCTCTGTGCCTCAGTTTCCCCTCCTGTGAAATGAGAATAACAGACATTGTCTCATTGGGGCTCATAAATATTGAGTCAGTCGATGTAAAGAGCAGAGAACTGTGCCCGGCACGTGGGAACACCGTGTAGGTGTTTAATGTCAATAATTCCCACAAGCGACATTCTCGAGGTATTTCCGTATGAATCGGTGTCGGAGACCTTTGTTCTAAACTCACCCGGGCTGGAGAAAGTGCCTGCAAATGCGGGACTCATGTCTTGCTTTTTGAAGGTCATCCAAAAAGCTCGGCGTCTGCAGATTGCATGAAAATGTCCTGGAAACCTTATCTGAAATGCAGATTTCCAGGCCCAGTAGGTCTGGGATGGGCCAGGAATCTGCACTGTTTCAAAGCCCCCTGGGCTGTGTTGGGTAGGATATACTGGATGCAGCTGGAATTGAGGAATCTGCTCCAGAATGATGGGGGAGAGCAGTGGCCATGTAGCCCATACCTCCTGGGCCGCTCTTCTGTCCCCAGGGTCTGGTGACGCCAGTGCTCCATAAGTGGGTCTTATCTTGTGATTTCAGTGGCTCACCTCAGTCGGTTGAGATAGGAGGCATTCTTACCATTTATCAGCTCAGAAAACTGAGGCGCGTCCAAACTCAAGTGAGTGGGGTCCTCCTCCAGGTGAGCCAAGTTGCCCCTCAAGGCCACCCAGACCCTCCGGACCTATCTTTGGAGCATGAGCTTGGGGTCCTGGATTCATTTCAGGCTGCTCTTCCTGCCTCCTTGATCTTGGGCTTGTCCCAGGCTGCCCTCCTACCTGCCCTCTGCATAGGGAGACAGACAGGTGGAGCTAGAGGTAATTTCCTGAATATGCACTTGGCCTCCTGCCGTGCCAGCCCTGGCTTGTTGCAGGTGGGTGTGCAGAGGGCAGGGGGACTCTGACTGGGTGCAGCCTGGAGCCCAGTTCTCCAGGGCGCCCTTTTGAGAAGAGACCCGAGCCCTCGGGGGGGAAAATCCTGGAGAGTGATTTGACTCTAAGAATGGGACAGATTGCAGAGTTCCTGCCCTCAAACAGGTCTGGCTTTGACCAGTCTTTGACCTTCCCAGCTAATTCCTGAAGACCTGCCCGCCCCAGCCCCACCTCTAGGTTTTTTCAGTCCAGAGCAGTGTTCCGGAACTGAGGTGGTGGGAGAGGAGGCTCTTATCAGTCTGGGGGCCTTGAATGCCTCCTTGAATGAACTCCTACACTTTTCTTTTATTTTATTCTTTTATTTTATAGTCCCCCCCCCCCCCCCCCCCACCTCCCTGCCTTAAACCTGTGGAAACCTATACCAGTATAAATCGTGAACCCATGGGCAGCTCTACTTCAAGAGGTGGACGGGGACCAGGGCTCCATCCTGTTCCCCATCCGGACCCCTGGCTCCACCCCCTTGGCTTTGAGAAGGTTCTGGGCAACCGTCTCCAAAGTGGGTGTGGGAGGCCTTCTGAAGAGGTAGGTCATTCTGAGGACTCTCTCAGCCGAGAACGGTCACGTCCTCTCGCTTCTCCTTTTTCGTCATTGACCTCTTCTCCTTTCTCCAGAAAGCCTTCCCTGGCTCTCCCCTCGGGGCTGCAGGCTGGGTTGGGCGCCCTCCTTGGATCATTCTGGTCCACGTGTTGGGCATTTAGCAGGCACTCAGTTGATGTTGGTCCTTTGTTAAGAAAATATCTTGGGCCGTCAATAGCAAGGCTATTTTGGCGAAGGATGCTGTCGGCGTGGCGATAGTCCCATTTCGGGGACAAAGGGTTTTGTAGGAAGAATCTATTTCCGCGTCCTATGTGAACACTAGCTCATCTGTGGGCTTTCCACAAATTATCTCATAGGCCATTGAGTGCAGCTCATGCTTGCCCCGCAGAGTCATGGGAGAATCCTCCAGCCCGACCGGTGTCA